TATTTCTATTACTGTATGTCCCATGTTGCTTTTTCCTTGACATTATGCAGTGTAGAAGAGCTCTGCAGGTGAGATGTATCTGTGTGTGCCCATAAAGTGGTGTCAAACTGCTTCATTTCTGCAGTGCGGAAGAGCTGCAGGTGAGATGTGTCTATGTGTGCCCATAGTCTGCTATCTAAATATGCTGCTAACTTTTGATGGTCAGTTTTAAAAGCCACCTCTTGCCCCAGAGGAGCATGCAATTCAGGCAGTGCCATGGTGAGAGTCTCCAGGAGACTGAAGACGTTATCACACGGGGTCTAAAGCAGTCCCATCCCCGTCCCATTGCGCTTCCTTTTCCCCTGTGTTCACCCGACGTCGCAGAGAAACCCCGCCCCATCCCCGTCCCATTGCGGTTCCTTTCCCCGTGTCTTCACACGACGTCGCACCCATCCCCGTCCCATCCCCATCCCATTGCGGCATCATCTGGCATCATCCCCGTTCTTTTGAATGCCGGTTTTTTTGGGAATTACATTTTTGCCGCGACCAGAATGATACCGGAATGATGCTGCTTTCTGTATGCCGGTAAGTTCTGGATTGAAAAGGAACCGCAATGGGACGGGGATGCGACGGGGATGGGACTGCTTTAGTCCCCCGTGTGATAACGTCCTAGGATTCAAATCCTTACTCAGCCGTGGAAACCCACTGGGTGACTTTGTCACACTCTCTCAGCCTTAAAGGAAAGCAATGGCAAGCATCTTTTGAATCAATCTTGCCAAGAAAACCTCAGGATAGGGTTGCCATAAGTCAGAGTAAATAATAATAATAATAAATTTTTATTTGTAGCCCGCCCCTCTTCAAGGCAATCGGGGCGGGGGACAACAGCATTTTAAATCAGAACAACATTAAAACATTCCTATTCCCTTTAATCCTTTCCTCCCCCCACTCCATCCCCTTAAAACAAGATTAAACCGCAGAGTAGTTAAAATGCAGTGTTAATTAAATTAATAAATTAAAACAAAATTTTTACAAAGGAGTCAGACAAAACAGTGGCCCCTCTTTTGGGCCGACTGTTATTCCGGGAAGGTGAGAATCATTGAAAGTACATAACAGCAATAAATAATGCACACAGAAAGATAACACATTTCACTATAGAGGGAAATACCGTTGCCTTTCTTTCTTATGGTACATTATATCTAAACCAAACCTAAACTGGACAGCACTTTTGTCCTATATAAAGTAGGACTGGTGATCACCCTGGAACTTTGGGTTACTATATTTCTAAACAAAAAAATCACTCTTGTTTGCCCCTTTTCTCTCCCCCCATTTTGTCAACGTGTATAGTGATGCAAACTAGTGCTAAGATGAAGAAATATTTGTTACTTCTTAAGAGATCTCTACCTCTAGTTATGTGCTAACTGAGGTATTTAGTTTGGGTATTATTTACAGTGGGAAAAGTCATTTACAGGTTGAGTTTCCTTTATATGGAATACTGAAATCCAGAATACAGTACTCCAGAATCCAAAACTGTCCACATAGGTGGCTGAGGTAGTGAAACCTTTTGTTTCTGATGGTTCAGTGTACACAAACTTTGCTTCATGCACAAAATTATTTAAAATGTTATGTATAAAATTACCATCAGGCTATGTGTAGAAGGTGCATGCAAAACATAAACTAATTTTGTTTTTAGACTTGGGTCCCATCTCCAAGATATCTCATTATGTGTATGCAAATATTCCAAAATCAGAAAAAAACTGAAATCTAAAACACTTCTGGTCCTAAGCACTAATAATGTAGCTGTAGCTGTAGCTGTACCTGTTTCAAATAATTGAAAGTTATTCCCAGAGCTTAGAAAATATACATTTTAGATTAAAATTCTCAGAATCTGCTAGTCATTATGGCCAATGGCCATGCTGGCTGGGGTACTCTGGGAGATGTAATCCAAAATGTAATTTTTCTAAGCTCTGGTTGTTAGTCATGGCATTTGTTTTGGAATGGATGACGATAGAACCAAATGGAGCCCATTTTGGTGGCATGTTTCCTTTGTTCCAAAATAAATGTACACCCCTTGTATGGGGTGCCAACATCTTAAGCTTCAATGTTCTGGTTCCTTGCTGACATTTCCACAACAAATACCAGAAGCCAAACAGAAAGGAACTCTGGTATTACATCCCAGAACTTAGAGACTATCTCAGACTACAGATAATAATACTGTTGCCACAGTTTGCATTGCAGAACATGCGTTATTATTTGTTGGAAAATAATATTCAGGTTGGAAAACAGGCTTCCTGAAAGTCAGGAAATTCTGTTATGAAGAATAATAGACTAGTGAGAATCTTGTGAAAAATGGGTTTCCTGAAAGTCAGGAAATCCTGTTATGAAGACCAATAAATCCTGTGCAATTTTCTCCCCATATTCAAACATCCCACAGTGTTAAGGAGGAATAATTTTGCATAGAAAAATATGCACAAAAACCTGTTTCCTGAACAAAAACAACAATAAAAAGCAACCTTGTTTTCTGCACAGAAAACATTATTTCTTGTACAGGAGAATTTTTTTATGCATAGACAACACCATTTGTGCAAATAAGCCTATGTGTTTTCCTCTTCAGAATAATTTACTTGCAATGTTTCGAAATGTTCAAATATGGGGAAAATAGCGTAAAGGAATATTTGTTTTCTTCTGCAGCAGGGAGAAAACTATCATAATTGTGAATCCCTGCATGTAAGGATGAAAGAGTTGAGGTTTTATATTCCTTATTTGTAAGTATCCCTCCTTTCCCCTCCACCATGGACCAATTGAAAATTACTGGGATTTGGCAGATTTCATTCCATAGATTTCATTCCACAAATCAAAATCCATGCATAGGTCATAAACCATATCTATTTCAACCTCCTGCCATGCAGGAACTCATAACTAATGCACTTCTGAGAGATGCCCATGATCCAACTTCTGTCTAAAGACTTACAAAGATGGAGAATCCACTGCCCTCTGAAACAAACCACTGTTGAACAGTTCTTACAGTAAAGAAGTTCTTCCTCAAGTTTATATGGAATCTTTTTTCTCATAACAGGAATCAATTGCTTCGTGTCAGCATCTTTGGATCAGCAGAAAAAACCCGTCCATCATTTACATGATGTCCCTTCAGGTATTTAAACATGGCTATCATTAGCAACTCTTAATCCTCTCCCAGTTAAACATACATAGGTCCCTAAGCCATTCCTCATAACCTTATCTCATATTGGAGTCCTTAAACACTAACTTGACATGAATGAATCACTGGATATCATCCAGAATATTTGGTATACCAAAAAATCCATACCAAATCCAACACTGAGCAGATCCATCTGTCCACACTTCTCTTCTTTGGCTCTCCCACAGCACAAACCTATGTAGATTCAGGATTACATCCAACAACTGTGTTTGATGGGAAAAGTGTGTAACCTTCCAATTACAAATTTAATTAAGTCATCAAGGCTTTTTGCCAGATCCATTTATACCAGACTATTGTCAATGGAGAGAAAGATCTTATCCAACATGAAG